GGCTCAAGGCTCTGTTAGCCAAGGTTCACCTCTGCCTTCCAAAACTGTTTCGAGCTAAAACTTTTGCCAGACAAACAACATTAAAGTTTTACAGCAATGCAAAATAATAATTTGTATGTAATTGCCAATTAGAATTAATATCCCAGCATATATGTCATTACACCAGTGGATGGCAACAGTGACTGTCTTTATGAGTGAATCATTGAATCATTCAGTCAACCAATTCATTCAAAACACTGATTCATTCAGGAACTAAATGACCGTCTTCATGAGAGAAATTAATCATTGAACCCTTCTATCAACAGGAATGAATCAAGTGACTGGCTTCCAAAAATGGATACTATCTGAATAAGTACTTCTTTTGAATAATAATTGTGTATTATTTATGCATACTTCTATGTAGACATACCACTGTTTTTACATACTAAGCGGGCATATTCAGATGCAACCACTGTATTTATGAGTGAATCATTAAAACATTTAGTCAACCAATTTATTAAAAATATTGATTCAATCAGAAAAGAAACAACCGTCTTCATGAGTGAATAACTGGATCATTTAGTTAATCAAGTCATTCAAAATACAGGCTGGATCTGAAATCACATGCTTATCTACTATATATTAGGTGAAAAACAGTATGTGTAAAGAGGAGTATGTCTGAATTCACAGTTGAAGTCCTTATGTGGTAAGGAAAATAATATTTCTTATAGTCGATATGAAATTATACTGAATGTTCAGATTAGTTGATTATAATATTGATTCTTCCCTTTGAGCTAATTTGCTCCAACCTTGACATGGAATCTACTTATAGTTAATATAGTTAATACTGCACTGGGCAAGTTAAATATTGATAACATCATTGAATACCATATAATTAATATATTATTTAAAGGAACACTCCACTATTTTTGAAAATAGGCTCATTTTCCAACTCCCCTAGAGTTAAACAGTTGAGTTGTACCGTTTTTGAAACCATTCAGCCAATCTCCGGGTCTGGCGGTAGCACTTTTAGCTTAGCATAAATAATTGAATCTGATTGATAATCTGAACGGTCTAATCAGATTCAATGATCTATGCTAAGCTGCAGCTAAAAGTGCTACCGCCAGACCCGGAGATCGGCTGAATGGATTCGAAAACGGTAAAACTCAACTGTTTAACTCTAGGGGAGTTGGAAAATGAGACTATTTTCAAAAATAGTGGAGTGTTCCTTTAACATTATACTTAGCTTGCAAGGTGTTAGCATCAAATAGTTGGAATGCAAACCTAAATGTACTGTTTTTTTTTTAAGAACACAAGTTAAATAAAACAGCATTGCCTTTTACTGTGGAATGATTTCAGACATGAAACACAGTGGTGGCATATTGCATTTAGCATTGCTCCTACCATGGACTTCACTGTGGCATGAATTCTCTTCCTTTAAGAATAGTACAGAAAATAAGAAAGAAATGTAGAATTAAAAAGGTATTTTTTTATTGCACCATATAAAGAATAGGACAGATTCTGTAAGTTAAAAGGGGCATATGTCTTTAGGGAGTGTCAGTCTCAGAGACAGTGGATGTCTGAAAAGCAGTAGCTGGATCAGATCCATTGGCAGTTCAGAGGCAGCGGCCATCTGATATTCAAAGTCAGACTCAGAGACAGTGGAAGCTTCAGAGGGCGTGTAAGTCTCTGAGGTTGTGTCAGTCTCTGAGGTAGTGGCACCCTCATATTCAAGGGCAGTCTCCAAGGTAGTGTCAGTCTCAGAGGTAGTGTCAGTCTCAGAGCCCCTGGCACCTTCATTATATTCAAGGGCAGTCTCCCAGGTAGTGTCAATCTCAGAGGTAGTGGCACCTTCATTATGTTCAAGGGCAGTCTCCGTGTCAGAGGTATTGGCAGTCTCAGAGGCAGTGGTAGGCTCCCAAGCACTGGAAGTTAAGAGGCAGTGTTGTCTTTGAGGCAGTGTTAGTCTGAGGTGTACTGTCAGTTTGAAATGCACTGTCAGTCTGAGATGTAGTGCCGGTCTATGAGGCAGTCTCAGTTTGAGAGGCAGGCTCAATCTGAGAGGCAGTGTTAGTCTGACAGGCAGTGTCAGTTTCAGTGGAAGTGTCATTCTCAGACGCAGGGCCAGTCTCAGAGAGAGTTTCTGGCTCAGAGCCTGTTTGAGACTGATGGACAGTGAAAGTCTCAGAAGCAGTGTCAGTCTCAAGGACAGTGTTATCTCTGAGGCAGTTTCAGTCTCAAGGACAATGTCGGTCTCAGGTGCACTGTCCGTCTCAGGGACGATGAGGATCTCAGGTGCACTGTCCATCTCAGGGACGATGACGGTCTCAGACGCACTGTCTGTCTCAGTCTCAGATGCACTGTCCGTCTCAGGGACGATGACGGTCTCAGGTGCACTGTCCGTCTCAGGGATTATGATGGTCTCAGGCGCACTGTCCGTCTCAGGGATTATGACGGTCTCTGGCGTACTGTCCGTCTCAGAAATGATGGCTGTCTCAGGCACACTGTTCGTCTCAGGGACAGTGTCAGTCTCAGGTGCACTGTCCGTCTCAGGGACAGTGTCAGTCTCAGGTGCACTGTCCGTCTCAGGGACAATGTCAGTCTCAGGTGCACTGTCTATCTCAGGGATGATGCCGGTCTCAGGTGCACTGTCTGTCTCAGGGACGGTGACGGTCTCAGGTGCACTGTCTGTCTCAGGGATGATGCCGGTCTCAAGTGCACTGTCCGTCTCAGGGACAGTGTCGGTCTCAGGTGCACTGTCT